ATCACTTTAAATGTGAGTGCACCTAACAGGGCATCAAATATGTGAGGAAAAAACTGACAACTGAAAAGAGAAATAGACAAATGCACTGTACTGGAGACTTTCAAACCTCGCCTGTCAATTGATAGATTAAGCAGGCAAGTAATCAATAAGGATGCAGTTGACTTGAATATGACTACCAGTCAACTTGCTCGAATTGCCATGAATACGGTACTCCCTCCAACAACAGTAGAACACACATTTTTTTCAAGCTTCTATGAAATATTTACCAAGACAGACCATATTCTGGTCCATAAAACACATCTTAACAAACTTGAATAAGCAGAAATCATGCTTCTTAAATTCCATATATGTGTGAAATCATACGGTATTTGTCTTTCTCTGACTGACTTATTTTGCTTAACATAATACCCTCTAGTTCCATCCATGCCATTGAAAATGGCAAGATTTCATTCTTTTTGATGTCTGAATAATAGTCCATTGTGTGTGTGTGTATGTGGGTGGGTACACACACACATACATATACATACACCACATCTTCTTTGCAAAGTATGCTGTCAGATCACAATGGAATTAAACTGGAAACCAGTAACAGAACGCTGCAAAACCCTCACATCTCTGGAAACTAAACAACACATTTCTAGATAAGACATGTATTACAGAAGTCTCAAAAGAGATTTGAAAATATTTTAAGCTAAGTGACAATGAAAATGCACTTATCAAAATATGTGAGATGTGGCAAAAAAAAAAAATATGTGAGATGTGGCAAAAGCAGTGGTTAGAGGGAAATGTATAGCATTAAAAGCATCCATTGAAAGAAAAGTTTAAAATCAATAATGTACATTTCCACCTAGCCCAATTAAAGAAATAAGAGCAATGTAAGCCTAAAGCAAGAAGAAGAAAAGAAATAATAGAAATCGCAGCAGAAATCAATGACATTTAAAACAGGAAAAACAACAGATAAAATCAACAAAACCAAAACGTGTTTCTTTGAAAACATAAATAAAATTGATAATCCTCTAGCCAAGCTAACCGAGAAAAAAAAAGAAGAAGATACAAATGGCCAGTCTCAGAGACAAAAGAGGTATCATCACTACCGTTCCTATTGACATTAAAAGAATAATGAAACAAAGTCTTTGTGGCAATATATGCTTTCATTTCTTTTCGGAAAATAACCTAGGCATAGAATGGCTGAGTTGTATGTTAGGTAGATGTTTAACTTTTGAAGAAATTGCCAGTGTTGTGTGGAGTGGTAGTATCATTTTAAATTCCCACTAGCATTATGTGAGAATTTCTGTTGTCCTACATCCTTACCCATCCCAAGTGTGGTCAATCTTTTTAATTTTAGCCATACTAATTGATGTATAGTGGTATATCATTGTGGTTTTAATTTGGATTTCCCTAATGACCAATGACATTAGATATCTTTGTGTACACTTATTTGTCATCTGTGTATCTTTGATGACATCTATAAATCTTTGGCCAATTTCTAATTTTTTTTTAACTATTGAGTTTTGAGTGTTCTTTATATATGCTGGATACAAGATTTTTTCACAGATACATGATTTGCAAATATTTTCTCCCAATCTGTGGCTTGAGTATTTATTACTTTAACAGTCTTTCAAAGAGCAGAATTCTTAATTTTTGTGAAGTACAGTTCATCTGTTAGTATAAAAATTGTGTTTTGGTGTCATATCTAAGATATCTTTGCCTAACCCAAAGTCACAAAGATATTTCTCCTATATTTTCTTCTACAAGTTTTATAACTTTACTTTTTTACATTTTAGGTTTATGATCTATTTACATGTAGGATTAAATATAGATTTCACAGTTAGGTTTATGATAGTTTTAAAATTGTCTGGGTTAGGGGCGCCCGGGTGGTTTAGTCGGTTAAGCGTCCGACTTTTGCTCAGGTCATGATCTCGCGGTTCGTGGGTTCGAGCCCCGCATCGGGCTCTGTGCTGACTGCCAGCTCAGAGCCTGGAGCCTGTTTCAGAGTCTGTGTCTCCCTCTCTCTCTGACCCTCCCCTGCTCACGCTGTCTCTCTCTCTCTCCTAGAAATAAATAAAAATAAATAAATAAAAATAAAATTGGGTTAATTTTTGTACATAGTATGAATAGTATATAGAAGTTTTAAAGATATCCAATTATTCCAGCACCATTTTCAGGAAAGACTATTTTTTCCATCCTTTAACATGTATCCTATCCATATTTTTATAGTTAAAGTGGGTTTCTTGTAGGAATCATATAGTTGACCTTTGAATTTTCATCCAAACTGAGTATCCCTGCCTTTTGATTGGTGGTTTTAGACTATTATTTGTATCTATCGTCTTGATATTTTTTCCATTTGTTCCTTCTATGCTTAGTTCCCCCTTTTCTCTTTGCCTTTTTTGCATTAATCGTGTATTTTTAAAAATTAATCCTCTTTATCTCCTTTGTAGGCTTACTAGCCATACTTCTTTGCTGTTGCTGTGTTGTTTTAGGGGTTGCTTTGGAGTTTCCGATATACATCCTAGCATCACAGTTTGTTTTTTATGTGGTATTATACTACTTGTCTCTAACACAAGAAACTTACAATAGTATTCTTCCATTTCACTTCCCCTGGTCTTTGTGCTAGTATGGTCATCCATTTTACCACTACATATGTTACACTATTTTTGCTTTAAACATGGGCCTGTCAGTGCTTTTTTTTCCTTTTTGTATCAAATGTCCATGGCTAAACAGTAATGGTTAAGAGATATGAGTTTCAATCCTCGCTCCACAGCTCCACCAACTACGACACTGGGCAAGTTCCTAATTTCAGTGCACCTAGGTTCTGTCATTTACAAGATGGTAACAACTCCCAGGGCTTGATGAGGCTTCAAAGGAGATGTCCGTGACATGCTTAGAGCATAAAGAGAGCATACAATTAAATAGGAGTTTTAAAATGATTTTTCTTGGGGCGCCTCGGTGGCTTAGTCGGTTAAGCGTCCGACTTTCGCTTAGGTCTCGATCTCGCGGTTCGTGGGTTCGAGCCCCGCGTCGGGCTCTGTGCTGACTGCCAGCTCGGAGCCTGGAGCCTGTTTCAGTCTGTGACTCCCTCTCTCTCTGACCCTCCCCTGCTCACGCTGTCTCTCTCTCTCTCCTAGAAATAAATAAAACATTAAAAATTTTAAAAAATATATAAAAAAAAATAAAATGATTTTTCTTCCCTCCACCGAACTCCTAGGGCACATGTTCAATTCAGTTAAGCAGTGAGACATTATAGGGAACTACGAGCTCACATCCATGTACAGGCCAGGTATGTGTCAGGACAACGTTAGGGAAACTATAGCTCCTTTCGTATTGGTGTCACATGCTGCTGCTTTTCTTTTCCTCACAGACCCATATGTTTGTCAATGAAAATGTGTAGAAATATTCTTCACCCCACGAAGAAACATATCTTCTCGGATGTTATGTATTCAAAATATTGAACAACTGGACTGTAGCCTGGGCTTCCTAAGTGCATGCCTCCTGGCTGTCGTGATGGAGCGGAGTCCTGTTTTGGGGGTGAGGGGGGTCACAGAAGTACCTAGGGCAATGCAGCACCACAGGAGAGCCCCGCAGTGGTGATTTACAAACCAATATGGCAGCATTTCTGACTAGCATCTACCAGCTGCATATCAAGCTTCCTTCTCTCCCTTTTTTCTTCTTTTTAAACAGTGAGTTTCTTGGCCTAACCCTTGTTTTCCTGGTTTTAACAGAGGCCTGAGTACAAAAAATTACCTTCTGTTAGTGTCAGTCCCACTCAAAGCAGATAGCCCTCATTCGGCTCTAACCAGTGTCTTGTGCCCGCTGTAACCTCTACTTTTTCAAGAGAAGCTAGAAATGCAGAGTTTTGTATTACATCTTTAGTGTTGGTGCAATCATTTTTAAATCTCTGTGAAGGTCAAACACCGTGACGTCTGGCTTATTGAATGAATACATAGTATATTCCAGACCTTGCGAGAGTTTACAAAGATGTAGAGTCTGCCCTGAAGGGACTGGTCATCTAATGGAGAGGCTGAGAGACCAACAACAGTTCGTTTTACTGTAAGGTGGTGGGGACGTAACTGCTTGTATACCTGGTAGCTTTTTCCTGTGTGTATGTCTTATCCACTCAGACACAAGGACTCTATGCTCTGTTTGTCCTCAGCACTCAGTGCCTTGCTCCTAACGTTGTGATTGTGTTGTCCTACTGATCTCTTACTCCATCTGTACGGCTGATGTGAACATAAGTATAACACAGGTGTACAGCTATTTGAAGTAAGTCACCCTCTCTCTGCATGGGCAGTCTGACAACGAGAACACTGCACACAGCAGAAAGGAACAAACCCTCCGGAACCGAACCAACCTGCTCTGTTAGCTAGTAGTTGGTTGAAGACTCAAAGTACAAGTGAGAACAGAGCGGCAGGAAATGTAAAAATGCAGGGCTTTCTTGTGAGACTCAGATGGGCAATCAAACTTGGAAGTCAGCTAGGACCAGCATCTCCTTCTCAGCCTTTATCTTCTGTGCCAAATGGGCCTCCTGGTTACTCTCTGGAGTCAAGGGAAATACAAAAGACAGAGACCAAAACCCAGTTAGATTATTCTGTCAGAAAACAAAATCTAGCTACAACTTATTACCTCTGAAACATACGTGAAATGTCTATACTATTAACAGTACCGCTGGAGTGTTCCTACTACTGATCGTTTGGTTCGTCTCCTTCCCGGCTTTTTTCTCCGCTTGCTCAGAACATATGCATCCGTTTGCATGTGGCTTTTCCCCCTAGAATGTTGGAATCCTACGCTCCGCTGTTCTGCAACTTGACCTTGCCCTCCTGCTCCATCGAGTCCCCCCTTCTCTTTCAGACGGCGCAGTGTTTTGTGGTACGGCTATACCATACTTTGTCTAGCCACCTCTCTGCTGAGAACCACGTAGGGTGACACCATGTTTTCACCATGATAAACATTGCGACAGTAAATATCATGCATTTACGTTTTATTTTGTTTTTTATTTTTAACAGGACTGTGCAACCTGAAGTCATTACAGAGTTTGGATCTGTCGTTCAATGGGATATCGCAGATTGGTTTGTCTGACTTTCGTAACTGCTCAAGGCTGGAGAACCTCAACCTAAAGAGCAACAGGATATTTAGAATTCATCCAGGAGCCTTCAAGGACCTCAAGAAGTTACAGGTTATGAGATGACTTTTAGAGTATTTCCAATCGCAGACATATAGGCAATTACATTAGAAGAATATTTCTACCGGGGAGTTTCTCTGTGCCCAGGAGTACTGGCTATTAGTCAGAAAAGATAAGTCTATTGTAAGATTCTGCTAAAATAGCTGGAGTCTCTCTCTTGCCTCAAAAAATTAAACGCCTCAGTCACGGACGTGAATTTCACTCAAACAAAATACTCAGTACCAAGAATTGGCACATTATTTTCTAAATCAAATTAAACCCAGCTCCGAGTTTCCACTTAACCAGTTGGCAAGAAATTAAATCAGAGTTATAATGGAGGCCCCCTCCCTGAGCTGCAAGGTGGGTCAAGGTCCCTGGGGTCTTGTGCCATCTGGAGCACTTGGGTGGGGGTGTCCCCTGAGCCACCTGGTCAACGCTGAGATGTCAGCAACCCAGGATGAAGGCCTGTGACACTGTTGCTTCCAAATCCAAACTGGGCACTCGATAATAAAAGTGATAATGACAGCTCATACTTAACCACACGCCACACACCGTTCTGAACATGAGACCCATCCTGGGGGCTCTATGTCACATTTTGGAGCCAGAACATCTGTCTCTTAGGCACTTGGCAATGACTCTCACTGAAGAACTGACAGCTGGGAGGGGGAAGAACTCCAAAGCTCTGCTCTGGGCTTGGCAGCTTCTGCCTCTTCCCCAAGCACTGTCCTCCACCCCCCTCTTCTCCGGGGGGTATTGTAAAATCTCCCCACCATACTACTCCTTTGGAGAAACGAAGGGGCCTTCAGTGTGACATCTAGTGATGTCTCAGGAAGAAACTTGGTCCCCCATACCCTCCATCTCACACCCTCACTCTTCATGTAGGTCAGCGTCGTTCCAAAGAAGCATGCTGTGAGCCACATATGCAGTTTTAGAGGCTCTAGTAACTAGATTCAGAAAGTAAAAATAAGTCCGTGAATTTCATTTAGTAATATATTTTTTTTAACCTGGTGTACCTGAATATTATTTTTTACAAATATAAAATCACGTCATCAATATAAAAATTCTTACTGAGCTATTTCACATTGTTTTTCATGCCAAGACTTCAAATTCTGTGTACTATTCATACCCACATCCCAATTTGACTAGTCACACATCAGTGCTCTAAAGCCACATGTGGCTAGTGGCCGTCAGATTGGACAGCGTCATCATTGCTGGTTTTTCCCAACTTTATGGAAAGTGTTACTCATGTATCACTGCAAGACAAATTTCCAACTTCCCCCTTTCATCCAGGGCCCCCCAAGCCCTTCTGCTATTGAAGGGAGACCAGCGAAGTGATGGTGAGGTGAGTGAACCCTGGGGTCAGCTGCCAGAGTTGAAACTGAGGCTCTGCCACTTTGCAGCCACACAATCTTGGGCGAGTTACCAATCTCTCCGTGCCTCAGTTTTCTCCTTTGAAAAAACAGAGATGACTGCTTTCCTTTCTCACAGAATGTTGTGAGAATTAAATGGTTCAAATGCACATAAAGTGGTTGGAACAGTACTTGGAACATAGCAAGCTCTTTTTTTTTTTTTTTTTAACATTTATTTATTGATTTATTTAGAGAGAGAGAGAGAGAGAGAGAATCCCAAGCAGGCTTTGCAACTGTCAGCACAGAGCCCAGCGCAGGGCTTGATCTCACAAGCCATGAGATCGTGACCTGAGCCGAAATCAAGAGTCAGATGCTTAATCAATTGAGGCGTCCAGGCGCCCCAAGCTCTTTAGAAACGAAGACCGCATATACAAATTCTAAAATGGCCACAGTATCCCACTTGTTTAACAGACAAATATGAACGTACCACTGCTTATTAGAACCCCTACTAAGTTTTCCCAACGAGAGCCTGGCCCCTGCCTGCATCTCCAGCCTTATTCCAAACCACTCTCCCCTTGCTTATTCCACTCCTTCTCTCTTCACACCAAGGCCTCCCCACTTGCTGATCCTTTGTCTGGAACAGCTAACTCTTAGGAATCCCTCCAATGTCACTTCCTCAAGGAAGCCTTCCCGGGGCCTCCAGGTTGCATTAATTGCCCTTTTATAAACACTTACAATATGCTATGCATTTTCCTTATTACGTTCGTCACAACAAAAATTATTTAGTTTTAGTATGGTTAGTTGTTAATGCCTGTATCCCTTAATCCTCAAGCTCTCTGAGGACATGCTCTGTAAATCTATTTTGTGTTCTAGTGCTTTGCACATGTCTAATTCATAGCACATATTTTAAAACACTTGCTGAACAAAGGAATGAATAAGTGGATGATCATGAATAGGTGTGTTAGTTACCCACTGCTGTGTAACAATTACTCCTAACTTAGTAGTCTAAAAATCACACATTATCTTATAATTTGGGGGGTCAGGAAGCCAGGCAGGGTCCTGCGTCCTTTGCTAAGGGTATTTCAAGAGGCTGCAGTCAAGGTGTCAGCCAGAGTTTGAGACTCACCTGAAGGCCCAGCGCTGGAGATGGATTCACTTCCAAGTTATGTAGTTGCTGACAAGACTCTGATCCTGTGAGCTGTTGAGCAATTCCTCACTGGCTGTCAGCCGAAGCCTGCCCTCCCTTCTGTGCCCTGTGTGCCTCTCCACCGAGCAGTTCACAGCATGGCAGCTTACTTTAGAGCCTGAAGGAGAGAGCTTGCTAGCAAGGAAAACATTACAATTTACTACACTGTAATTGTGGGAGTGACATCACATTGCTTTTGCCATATTCTGTTGCTCAGAACCTCGAGTAACCATACTTGAGGGGAGGAGATTCCTTAAGGGTGTGAACACCAGGGGGCAGGATCACTGGGACCATCTTTGCCCCAGTAATTATCAGAGCAGATGAGAAAATGCACTTAACTAACTTGGCAATGCCGCCCATTCCCCACAAATAGGTTGTCAGATTGCCTGGGAGGGAACCTCGTTTAACACACTACACTGGTTATAAGTGTATTTGTGTATGTCATTGCCCTGCGTCTGTTTTTATTTCCTGTGCATTTTTACTGTGACTCGTTAGTGTTCCGTAGCTCACTGGCAATGGGTTCTCCAAGCCAACTAAACACTAGCCCCAGGAATGTTTGAAATTCTCTGTAATTCTTGCTTCACCTGAACTGCCCAGAATCATACAATCTCTCCTTCTCCATGATCCCTTCGACATGTTCAGCAAGAACTCTGAAAACTGGTTTTGGAACTCGATGGACATATCTGGTACCAGAAAGCTGAATATTAACACAGATGTCGGGGCACCTGGGTGGCTCAGTCAGCTAAGTGTCCGACTTCGGCTCAGGTCACGATCTTACGGCCCATAGGTTCGAGCCCTGCGTCGGGCTCTGTGCTGACAGCTAGCTCAGAACCTGGAGCCTGTTTCAGATTCTGTGTCTCCCTCTCTCTCTGACCCTCCCCTGCTCACATTGTCTCTCTCTCAGAAATAAATAAAACATTAAAAAAATTTTTAAATAGATGTCTTCTTCTTTTTCAAGAGATGTATTTAATACTTGCACTATGCTATGTATTTTTGCATGTGGGAATCTTTCCAGAAGCCAGATAGATTTTTTTTTCAAAGCATAAATTCATCATCGTGTTTAGATGGAATGAGATCTATGTAAACTGACATTTCAGATTAACATTCTGTTATCTTTCCCATTCTTCCGAATGCAGTCATTTGCGGAGCTATATTAGCTGCCTCCCCAATCTTTCTGTAACGTTCACCCCTTTCAAGTGATGGTAGATGGCTTCTTTCTTTAGTCAGATTGGACTGTTCTGCTTTCATCTTTTCTCAGAAATCATTCCTCCTGAATAATTTTATTAGTTTTCTGTCCTTGCTTCAGTTTTGTTTTCAGTCCCATTTTGTAATATAATAAGATGCTAGGGAGACAAAAATGTAGATATGCACTAACAAGAAAGTAACTACCTGAAAACCATTGGAGGATTTCCCTCTGTTGCTGAGGAGGGGTACAGAAGAAAGCAATCCATCCCAGGCCAGGCCAAACAAAGTGGTTATATTGTCCCCCCTCCCTCTCTCAGTCTCCTACTTTCTATTTTTGGCAACCTTCCCTTGGGAGTCCAGACTGTTTGGTGACTCAACACTGGAAAGGTTGCTCTCACTACCTAAGTTCAGAGAATTCTAAGAGAATTTCTGCTTCTACATGCAGTGGTCTTGGTCACGGCACTATTGTTCGAATCGGCTCTTCTTAGGAATTTATATAACCCAAGATATCACTGCTGGGTTTTTGTTTTTTTTTTTTTTTTATAAAACAATTGACCTGGATAACATCCAGTCTCTCTGGCTTTCATCCATGGCCCACTTTCCCTTTTCTTTTCTTTTTTTTTTTTTTTATTTCTTCCAGCAAGGTTTGCATTCTCTCTTTTATGATTTTCTGTTCTTCTAATTACTACCTGCCCCTCCCCAAGCCCCACGACCCCACCTCTGCCTCCCGCTGCCTCCCCATCCACCATCCCTGTGCTCCAGTGCAGTGGGAGATCAGGCTCTGAGAGTGGAAGGCACACAGCCATGGGGCTAGATCAGCCCTCAACTCTGCCATTTCGTTCATTCATTCCTTCCTCCATTATTTACTGAGCACCTGTCGTGTACCAGACCGTGGCAGCAGGGGCTCTGTGGTAGGTACTGTGTGGCCTAGCCCGGCTTCCTCCTCTGAGGAAGCATTGGGGAGGCCTGGAGATAATGTATGTGAAGCACCTGACGGAAGGCCAGCACCCAGCAGCACTCCGCAAACAGTAGCCAGAGCTACACCCAACTGCTCTTCCTGGTGTATCACACTGCGGCCACCGCCAACGTCAGCAGGTCCTCCTCTGTGTTTCCAGAGCCACTGAATCCTTTTGGTTTCCCAAGTTCCCCTTCATTTCTTTCTTGGGTTTTCTGTTTATTTATTGTGAGAGTACACATGAGCAGGGGAGGGACAGAGAGATCGGGAAAGAGAGAGGATCCCAAGCAGGCTCTGTGCTGACAGCCCAGGGCCCAACACGGGGCTCCATCCCACACGCTGGGAGATCATGACCTGAGCCGAAATCAAGAGTCAGATGCTTAACCCACTGAGCCACCCAGACGTCCTCCTCTTCATTTCTGGAAAAATTAGTCATCTTGTATACTAGGCATGGATGCAGGAAAATGTACTACTACCCTTGAGATAATAGTTGATACAAAAGATCTCCCTGCTACTTGTGGTCAGCCACAGTTCTTCTGTGTTCGATGCTCTCATCATCCAGCGTCTTCTGTCACTTTCAAGATCCCAGTGCTTCTAGAAATTCTAGACCTGGTATCTAATTCTAGACCTTGATAACAACAGGTCTAACAGTCTAACAGGGAGTTTTATCTAACAGTTCAAATTACAACTCCTAGGAAAGAAAGAAGGGAAAATGACTGGGCCTCTAATATAGGTGGGCACCATACTTAAAGCTTTCACATACATTTAATCCTCACAACAACGCTAGGGGGCAGGCTCCTAAGAAGTGAACAGTTTGCCGAGGCTCATAGGGTTGCTAAGGGCAGAGCAGAAACTTAAACCCAGTATTCTTGAATTCTCAAATCAGTGCAAAATTCCTATTGTCTCCATAGCAATGTCAGCAATATCTGCAACTCCTGTTTGTCTCTAAATGTCTTTCTTCACGGACTATCCTAAATTTGCTCCTTCTCAAGCAGGCTGTAGACCTCAGCAACAATCTTCTGACCACCATCCTACCAATGATGATCATTGCTCTAGAACTTCCCCATCTGGAGGTGGACTTGGCTGGTAATCAATGGCAGTGTGGCGACAGCGTGGTGGCCTTCCAAAATTTCATTTCTGAATCCTGGAGGAGAACATGGAATGTGATTTGCAGCAAGTCTACAGGTAAGTCAGGGGTGCCTCTTTTTTTCTGAAATGTTCCAGCTGAAGGGAGAAGAAAAAAAAATCCCATGAATAATTTAGTCTCATTTGAAACAGCGACAGCCTCCCTGAAAGCAACAATGTTGATTACGGCGTTAAGTCAGCCACACTGTGTCACAAAACAATCACTGGCACCTAACTATTTTCCTCACTTCATGAATCATTTTCTTCAAATGGCCAAAGAAACCTAATTTAAATAGCTCAGAAACAATTAGATTTGGTCAAAAACAGAAATTTCACAGGGAGAGAAAGCCCCAGCCTGTCACACTTCTATCCCAGTTCTTAACAAATACTTGATCAAAGAAAGAACTTTTACAATGTGAAACATGACTATTTAAAGGGCTTGCCCCTGTGGGGCGCCTGGGTGGCTGAGTCAGTTAAGCGTCCAACTTCGGCCCAGGTCATGATCTTACAGTTTGTGGGTTCGAGCCCCGTGTCAGGCTCTGTGCTGACAGCCAGCTCAGAGCCGGGAGCCTGCTTCAGATCCTGTGTCTTCCTCTCTCTCTGACCCTCCCCTGCTCACGTGGTCTCCCTCCCAGAAATAAATAAAACATTTAAAAATAAAATAAAATAAAATGCTTGCTAACCCTCTGAACAGAGAGAAATGAAACATACGTATTTCAAAAGGATACATTTTTTTGATTTGTTCCTTGACACTTTCCCCAAATGCTAGACTACGTTACTAGAGCTGAACATACTGAAAAACTTTTTTTTTTTGCCATTAACTATCTTGGCTAAAAATCTCAAACCCCTACGTGAGTGTGGGCTGGGAAGTGTGTTAATGAGCCCTGGATTCTGTTCTGGTCGTACCTGCACTGGAGGTGAAGCATGGCCACGCTTACCAGGTTTAGAAGAAATCCATGAAGATCAGAGAGGAGTCTTAATGTCAGCCGGGGAGGAACAGAGGAATGAAAGAGGGTGGCATTCTGGGTATGGAAGGCACAAGTGTCAGGAACCAGCCTAAAACCCTGAATGTTTTTGCTGTTTCCCAACACCGGGCCGTGGTGAGGAAATGATATTGTGCACGTGGGCAGAGCCCGGGCGGGCCTTGCAAGGGCCTGACAGAATGTTCCTGGAAATGTGAGGTAGGTGAGGATGCGGAGGAAGGAGAAGCGACGTGGCTGTCCCCTCCAGTCCGGCTTCCTTCCTTCCCTGGGCAGCAGTCGGGCAAGAAGACTAAGAGACACGGAACCTCCTGGGCCCGTGAGTAGCAGACCTAAGCCTGACAGCCACGTGCACAGGTGTGGGCAGCGGTAGACATGCTCTTGGCCTTGGACAATCAACTGATCCATCACTAAGCTGCTGATACACTTTAGATACAGTAGGATGAGGACTCAGGGGGCCTCTCGCAAGCTTCTGAAGCCAACAGAACCCTCCTTCAGCGTCCACTCATAGTGCGTTTTCTCCACCCCACTTTCAGGGAACGAGGAGGCACCCCGCTGGACTCCCCAAAGCAAGAATTCCAGGGAGACGCACCTTCCTCTGATGACTGTGAATCCTACAAAAAGCCTCATAGCAGGCAAAGCCGAGGGGCCCCAGGAGGGAGGCTCCGAGCATTTTTCCAGCCCAGGGAAGAAGGACCCCGCCGACACCCACCCCAGTGGGAAGCGGAGCCGGCTGCCGAGGAGGGCGAGGAGCCCTGCCGACGGGGAGGCCCCCCAGAACCTCGCCCTGGCAGTGTGCCTGGCCGTGTTCATCACGTTCTTTGTGGCTTTCTGCCTGGGGGCTTTGGCAAGGCCTTTCCTGGACAGACTGTGGCAACAGAGGTGCGGTCGCAAAAGGCCCGGTTCGGATAATGCGTACTCCAACGAGGGCTTCTGTGACGACATGGAAGCTGCAGGCAGCACCCAGCACCCAAGGATGGACCTGCCCCTCCGTGAGAGGCAGGCCCCTGCCGGCTTCGATGCTGCTGCCGGCCCCGGCGAAACTCCAGGAAACGGCAGAAGTGAGCTTGGAGGCTGGCAGAGCAGGGGACGATGCGGGGACCACGGTGGGCCAGGGAGCAGAAACGATGACGTGCTTCTGAGTGACAGCAAGGAGGCCCGGTCCGTTCTCCGAGGACAGTCAAATGCTGATTATGAGGACGTAATTCCCGCAGGACAGGACCGCGTCTATGAGAAAGACGTTCTTGGAGAAATAAATTATGCAACTGTGGCCTGGGAAGACTCTCCCAGCGAGTGTTCAGTGGGCGTCCCTGCGACAGCTGGCAGACTGCGGCGTGCCTCTGGCTCAATTCATAGTGATCCGGATGAATTAAACACGCCTGTCTCAAGAGAAATGACAGCTTCGCTCTCTGAAATGCAAACACGTACGAAAGCATGGAGGACTGCAGAGAATGAGAAAAACGGGGGCACCGAATGGTTACCTTCAGAGTTTTCGGAGGAAACGCAAGCGAGGGCTTGCACGAATTTGCTGGACGCGCAGCAGCCAAGGCTCACGGGGGCCAGTGCTGGGGAAGGGCCTCCCAGGGAGGTCACGCTCGGTGACCCAGGAGAGATGAACCCATCCCCACCAGTCCTTCCTTCGAGATGGGGCCATGGCCTGCATGTCACTCCCGCTACCATGGAACCAGAGCAGAAACATGGTCCTTCTGACCCTCAGTACGAACTGGAGAGCAACTACGATTCTGATGAAGGGTCTTTATTTACCCTCAGTTCAACAAGCTCAGACGATGCAAGAAATGTGGCTGAAGAAGAGGCACATGGGGAGAAGAGCCACAGAGCCAGTGAGCCCCCAGAGGACGAGGACTCAGCTGTGAGGAAGGACAATGTTACATCATTAGAGGATCCTGAGGACTACAGCCCCTTCCAGAAGATTCTGAGGAAATATGAGAATCAGGACGACTGTTTCGAAGAACCTCTCATTTTTGGTCCAGACTCTGGTTCATACAAGACGCATCTGGAAAGTGCCTCTAACACTCATACAGTTGAAGATGCATTGACCTTGCCTGGATCACCGGGCAATAGTCCCTTCAGTGATGAGATCCCAGGCAAGGTCACTTATGATTATGCCAGGGCTCTCCAATCCGAGGCAGTGGAGTGGCAGTGCTCACTTAGAGACTTAGAATTTTTCAGTGTAGATGTTTCACCACAAACACTACCATGTTCTCCTGAAGTTCCCTCAGATTCTGGTAAGAGTGACTATCACGAAAGAGATTTAGACATTTATACATCTGACCCTTGCATGCACGGAAGAAATACAGCTCAAAGAGATATTCCTCTCAAGGTCACCACAGGAGAAAATTTAAGGCCCTCACCACAAAATTCTGAAGGGGGCCACATGAATTCCCACCCGATGGACACTGATGCCTATGAGGAGTTTGTATGTCCTCTGGAGGACTATGCTTCCAGGATGGTCATAAGCCACACTCAACATTCCTGTGGTGACGAACCAGCTCTTCAGTGTGAAATAGAGAGGGATTAAGCTGAAAACAGTTCCAAGAGCCAGGGGCCACTGTCACAAGAGCCTCCAAATAAAGCCAGCTCAGTAGGAACACAGGAGCCCTTCAGTGACAGAGACTGGGGTACATATTCTCAGGAGGGTGTGTAACCGTCAGAAAAGGAGGACTCTAACTTCTATACTCAAATGCAGACCCAGAACAACGTGTTGGGAGTTGGCTTTCTGGATGAGGACCACCTCTACTATGACAGAGACCAAGACATGGAACTTGAAAGTCAAATGGAATTCAAATAACATTTGACCAAAATGTGCAAATAACTACAGACCAAAGCACTGGACGGAGCTGCTGAACACATTTTAACAAATTCTGCACGAACGACAGCACAGCTTTCAGGAGGTCGATCATGAACCTACCAAGGCGGGGGGGGGGGGGGGGGGGGTTTTCAGAGCAACTCTAAATACATTTTTTTTCCCATTAAGTTATGTTAAAAGAGGGGCCATTTTGTAGACCAAACAGTAAATTAAAAATCCATCTTCAAGAAGAGAAGTGATACGTTTTGTACAAGGACAAGATACTCTGCCATTATTCTCCATTAGCCCTTCCTTAGCACGAGCCTCCAGTCTGGGCTGTCAGGAGCTGGGGTCTTCTGTTCATCGTCCACTTCTCTGGTATTTTCTCCTTTTCCTTCCTGACACTTCTCCCCCACCTCTGCCTGCCCTCTCAAAGGGCATTCCTCAAGGATCTCTTCCCAGTTTTTCTTACACACCACTCTCCTTGCACCCCACTGTTTCACAACCAAATCTATACAGATGGTGCCCTCATCTGCGCGAAGAGGCCCAGCCCTATCTCCCATGCCTCGGACCCACATTCTAACCCCAACTGCCCAAATCCACATAGACCGTCCTGGGACCTAAAATCCATCATTCTCCTTCACAAACATGATCTCCCACATTCTCTTTCTTGGTCAGCAGTATCGTGACATCCACCCAGTAAAGCCAGTGAACATTTCTGACTTATCTTGGACTTTCCATCTTTTTTTTCCTAGATCTGAGTAGCCTCTAAGCTCTGTGCAGTGAAAGTTCCTGTATGTCGATACAAAGAGACGTTTAAGTGTGACAGTCTGGAAAGGGCGACGTAGTTTACACCAAACCAGTATTTGCATAGAAAGCACCCTGTTTTTACTGAGAGTGTATACTTAGGATGGATTAGGATGGGAGGTGATTGAGTTTGGGGAAAGGAACTAACCAGCCCTTAATCTACCTTTTGGCATCACCGCTAGTCTTACAAGATCTAGCTTTGTAGTGACTCTAAGTTTGTAATCTCTACTTTCAACTCCCAAATTAGGCACATATCCCTAGCTATCACCTAGATTATTTTAAGGTCTTTTAGTGACCATTAGTACTTCTCCTTGCCCCTACCCAAATCCCAAAAGTCTTACGTTCTCTTCTCTCTCCATTATTCAAAAATCTTTGATTTTTGGCTCAGTCAATAGAGGATGTGACTCTTGATCTCAGGGCTGTGAGTTCAGCCCCACAATAGATGTAGAGATACCAAAACAAAACCGAAAAACTTCTGATGCTCCCCCCTGCCTATACAAACACCAAATTCCATAATCTAGACACCTCCTAACTTTCCAACTTTATCTCATGACCTTATCACTTCATCCTCCATTCTGGTTGACATCATTTAAACCAATCATTTATTCATTTATCTTAGCAAACTTCTGAGGTCTTCATCAGTTCCAGATCAGTTTCTCCCCTGGTGTTCACAATTGAGATTTCCCTGTCCTTGAACTTTCACTGAGAACATTTCGGCTGTCAAGAAGAAACTTCTTCATTCCTTACCACATAGCAGTACCCATTTACTATCCATATTCACACTCACTCCTTGGCCCCAGTCGAAGAAGTCATTCTGTGGTCAAGGTTAATTCCTCCAGTTAGCTCTTGCTACAGTCCTGGGCATGGACCCATTCGTGTTTCCCATTCTTTCACTTCCAAGCTTGCCCTATCTAATGGCTCCTTCCCCAAGGAGTATGTCCAAGTCCCTTCAACATTAAAGTAAAAGGAAGAAAACACTGCCCTATGTCTCCCTCAAAATACCACCTTCTTCTCTTTTCATAGCTAGATTCCTCAGAGGAGTTTTCAATGGGTTTCTATTGATTCCTCTGTGCACTGCAATCAGGCTTCAGCTCACCACGCCCTTGACCTGTGCCTGTAGAGGCCCTCCAGCTGCTACATACCAGGGACTCCGCAGTCTTCCTCAAACAAGGTCTCTGCAGCACTTGACACTGTAGACCAACCCCCTCCCCCTCCCCCCCCCCCTTGGAACTTGTCCTGTGGCTCTGTGCTAGCTCTCCGCAAAGGTGAGGATCTCAGCAGGACACAGATGGCGAGAAACATGGAGGCTGGAGAGAGTCTAATGAAGGAACCATTCGAAAAGATCTAGACGGGATTAAGAGCCACTGGCAAAGGAAGGTGAAGGACCTACGGACTAGCAACAGGGGACGCCTTTCCCACCCAGAAGCCTGCAGAGGCCAAAGGACTGCAGCCGCGCGTGCACAACAGGAGCGTGGACTTTGGTTGAGGAGCACACCCACTGACAATGTACAAGGTAGCAGGAAAAATCAGCCAGCTTCCCTCTCCTCTGGCCTCCCTCCTCCTGTCCGTGCCTCCCAGCAGCTGAGCTCTGCAGGCCAGGGAGCAAGACAGCCGGCAGTTGTGGTCCACAGAGGTCAGCCTTCCAAGCCACAAAGCAGGACGAAGAAGGGAAGAGAGTAGATTTGGAGGGGCAAATGGAGACTATCCAGTACACATTTTCCTCTGATTCTTCTACCTCTCTGGTCATTCTTCCTCGGGCTCCTTTCTACTTCTTTCTATGCTCACCCGTGAATCACCCATGTTGCCCAGGGTGTGGTCCTGGAAACTCTTGTCTGCTCACTCATTCCACTTTCCGTGTGTGAACTGTCAATTCCACCACCATCTTAACTACTGATATTTTTTGTTCCTGTGACTCCAGCTTTGAAATCTTTCTGGAACTTCACACTCACATCCAGCTGCCGTTTGGATATTTCCATATATCCACTTCCAACCAAGTGTGTCCAAAATGAAGCTCATTAGCTCCACCGAATCCTCTCCACCCACCGTGTCTGTGCTCTGTTTTGCCATCTACTCAGTTGCTTCATCCAGAAACCCAGGAGTCGTTCTTTTGACTTCCTCCTCACTTCCCACGTCTAATTCGTTGGTCATCAGGAACAGCCCATTCTAGCCCCTAAATATCTACCAAACCTATCCCCTCCTCTCTGTCCACAGTGTAAGCTTTTGCTCTCACCTTGGCCTTCCCACCAGATCTAAGATAACAGCACACCAACAGGTTTCTTTACCTCCACTCCTATATGCTGTTATTTCCCACAGTACGGCCAGAGGGTGGTCTCTAAAATGCAAATATGATCCTGTGGCTCCCCTGATTCGAATCCATCCATAGGCTTTTCTGTTTCTCTACAGCCCCACAGAGAAGCATTGTCTATCACAGACCAGAGCCTATCACAAGTAAAATTAAATAAGACACTTTTGTGATTATTGATTTAAAGTCTGTCTGCCCCTTTTATATTATAACCTCCATGAGGACAACAATAACAGAATGTGTCTGGTCTCCCCAGGGCCTTGTCATTTCAGTTTTCAATACAGCAATGTATTAAATAAATGAATGAAAACAAACTCTTGAGTGCAATATACAAGGATATCCATGATCTGGCCCTGCTTTCCAGGCAGTTTCCCATCCAGTGTTTATTTTGTTGTGCCCTCCCTCATTGCTGACCTCCAAAGGGACACCAGGCCATGTCACCCCACCACACCTTAGCCCACACTGCTCCCACTTTCCAGGCTGTATCTATAAGCTTTCCACAAGCCCTGCCGCATCCGCCTGGCAAACATCTACTCTTCTTCTAACATACCCTTTAAGGATCACGTCCCCTGTGAGTCTCCCTCACCCCCTTCCACCCAAATAGAGGGGACCACTTCCTTCCTCCTGGGGTCCCCACTGCACTGCAGGGTAATGTGGAAGAAACAAGGCTTCACATGGTGTGCCTGAGATTTTCTAGAGATCTGTGGGCCAACTTCCTTTCCAATTGTTAGGTGAAATTTGGTTCTGACTGAAGTCTATGAAGCTGAAAATCATCTCACGGTGGGCGTTTATTTTACGGAGTGAAAATTTACTTTCTATTCCAGCAGCATAGAGCAAGGGTATCGACAATTTTGACTATTTTTGTTTTTCTTCATGCTCCCCCCCCCCCCCAAAAAAAGGCTTCTGATAATGGGACATAAACATCACAGGCATTCTACGTAAGTAGCTGTATTTCTCAGCCAGTGCTTATAAAAACAAATTTTTAAAGTCCCTCTCCACGTGCCTGCTGCAAGTGTGGCTGACATTACTTGATGTGAGATGTGAGGCCTGTGACTTCCGGATTTCCAAAATGGCTCACCTTTGGGGTCTGCCACAAACTGCCTCAAAGTGGAAATCACCTAAGTTCCATAGATCTTCTTTTTTCTTTAAGATTTTACTTTGAAGCAATCTCTACACCTCGAACTCACAACCTTGAGATCAAGAGTCACATGCTCCGCCAAATGAGCCAGCTAGGCACCCTCCCCCCCCCCCCACCCCATAGATCTTCTTACTTCTATTTTCCCTCTGTTTTAGTTTCACTTATTTTTATTGTGTCTCTAGTTCTATGATTACATAAATGGCCTTTACAACTTGTCTTACTTTTCATTAACATAAATCTTTTTGCATTTTTTCTAGCAGAGTAGCTCAAATTTTTATCAGCCTAACAATTCCATAATAAAGCATATTTTCATCTAAGAAACATTTTAAAAATCCCCTGGATAATCTATCTTTACATGCTTCTAAACCTATTGCATAAATCTTGGACCAATGACTGTAAACCTAAAATATGAAACATTAAAATCTTAGTCTTCTTAAATCAAGTCATTATGCTATGGACCTTAAACTTACATGGTGTTATACATCAGTTAAAGCTCAATAAAACTGGGGGGAAATATCTTATTCTTCTTGAAGGGCAACCAGTGCCATAAATTAATTGCCTTTTTAAAAAATTTTATTTATTTATTCTTGAAAAAGAGAGGGAGAGAATGAGCAGGGGAGAGGCAGAGAAAGAGGGAGAGAATCCCAAGCAGGCTCCACACTGATAATGTGGGCTTGGGGCTCAGTCTCACCAACTGGAGATGATGACCTGAGCCTAAATCAAGAGCCAGAAGGCACCTGGGTGGCTCAGTCAGTTAAGCTTCCAACTCTTGGTTTCAGCCCAGGTCATGATTTCACAGTTCGTGGGTTCATGCCCCACATCAGGCTCCGCACTGACAGCACAGAACCTGCTTGCAATTCTCTCTTCTACCCATCCTCT